TATTTAGGTAGACATCTAATGTCAATCATATCTAATATGACTCTTAGATCCTTTATGAGACTATGATATCAAATATCATTGCATATTGGTCTCATCTGTACCATTAAATCTCAAGTCAAACTTGACAACTTAACCCAAGATAAACCATATTCAAGCTGTAGGAACCACGATTTGCTCCGTTTGGTACAAACGTTATAGATTGACCTGTATCTTGACGGTTCGTCATCCAAAACATAAAGGCTATTAAACTGGTAACCTTTACCATAGAATAAATCACCTCTATAAATGGATAGACATTTGTTCTCAATAACAAATCTAAAACCATCCGAGTCTAAGCATAAAATTGATATAATGTTCTTACTGATAGCAAGAACAAAATAACAATCATGTAACTCCAATACAAGTCAAGAAGGTAAAGTCAGATCATAAGTCCCGACGGCTAATGCAGCAACTTTTGCTCCATTCCCAACGCGGAGATCTACTTCTCCTTTTGTCAATTGTCTACTTCCTCGCAACCCTTGCACATTTCCACAAATATGCGAGGCGCTTCCAGTATCGAATACCCACGACGTAGAAGTAAACAAATTAGCCTCTATAACGAAGACACCAGAAGTCAAAGCTTCTTTAAGCTTCTTCTTTTCTAAGCTTCTTCTTCTCCTGATCTTCCAGGTATAGTGTACAATTTCTGTTCCAATGCCCAACGGTATGACAGAAATAACACTCTTCCTTTTTGGACTTAGGCTTAGGTTCAATGACAACGCTTGTCACTTTCCACTTGCCCTTGCTCTTGGAACGCTTCCTTTTGCTGGAATTCTTTCCAACAACTACCATTTCACTCTTACCATGGCTTTCAGCTCTCTTTTTGGAATGACGCATTCAACTGATCAACTATCAAAGAATCGTCCATGTCCTCTAATCGCTTACGCAATTGTGAGGTCATGTTTCCAAACGTCAAGCTAGACTTGTCCGGATCATCATCCACATGCTTCCGATAAGCATCAATGATCGATCTAGAAGCCATGGTTAGAGTCTTATCCTTCATAAGGATAGATCGCATCGTCAACTTCGGTACAATACCGGTTAACGCTATGTCCTACATAAAAAGACAAAACAGAACGAAAACACATCTACATGCAGATTCTATCAATGATCCACTACCAGCTAGTCCATCATCAATCAGTGTCAATCTATCTATGATCCACTACCAGCTAGTCCAACATCAAACAATGACAGCACATATGTAAAGATAAGCTATATTCCCATAAAGAAAACTAACCCTACAATAATTTTCTATATGGGACTAAGATCCATATTTCACACAAGAACAAATTGTTACACCTATCCTTATGCTATTTAGGTAGACATCTAATGTCAATCATATCCAATATGACTCTTAGATCCTTTATGAGACCATGATATCAAATATCATTGCATACTCGTCTCATCTGTACCATTAAGTCTCAAGTCAAACTTGACAACTTAACCCAAGATAAACCATATTCAAGCTGTAGGAACCACGATTTGCTACCCTGCCTCACAAAGATAATCCGGCACGCTCAGCTTTGGCATGACCCATGTTACGGACGATCGATGCCTTGACAGACGCTCTAATAATGGGAGGTACACACTTAGCATTACATAAACAAGGGATTTTCGAAACCACACTTAGATCAAGCATCTACTTTCAAGCTATGAAAACCACCATTTCTCCATCTTGCCTCACCAAGATAATACGGCACACCCAACTTTGGCATGGCCCATGACACGTACGATCGAGACCTTGACAAGTGCTTTACTCGTAGGGCTCCTAGATCTAACCGGTTTCTGTGCAACGATTGTTCATAATCCGAATAGTCCATCCATTCGAATTATGTAATCCCAATCTCGGAGCTCCCACTCAATCAAGCATATACTATATCTTGATTAAGTTACATGTATTCATTCACTATGGACCATCCATAAGAATGAATCATGTCTATTTGAGTTACAGTTGATCAGATTATGCAATGATTGCGTAATCGGACCTCGAAAACAGAAATTTTCGGAATCTGGACTTCGGACCGTCTGTTCTGGAGGTAGAACAGACGTTCCAGGCTGGCAGAACGTTCGGTCTCGACTGCAAAAGTCGGTAGATTGGATGTTGGAATTTTTTTTTTCAAAAAGAGGGTAGTACTAGAAGTCCTTGTAGTACCCTCTCTAATACCTTTTCCAGGGTAATAAACGTGTTATCATTTTACAATAATACCCATCCAAAATCCAAGTTTTTAACATTCTTTGAGGGTTTTATGGTAATATCGATATTCTACAATCCAGTGCACCTCACCCTACATTAAAGCTCCGTGCAACCTTTCCCCCTCTTTCTTTTCTTTGGTCCACGAGATCCCTCTCTCAGGCGCTTCTTCTTCTTCTTAATGATCGATTCTTCTCAGTATTCTGGAATTGGGTAGTGATTCTCAGGTTTTGACTTGAAACGGTATTGGGGACAAGACACAGATCGTGCACTATCTTTGTCAGATCATGGAGATTTTTCGTGGGGTCTCCGTATTCTTGTTGTCTCTCTGCCTATATCTGTCAACTTCTTTCTCGATCGACAATTTTCACCAGGCGTAAGTGGAATTCTCGTTCTTCTTCTTTGGGTTTTCCCAGGAAAATTCGTCAGATTTGATTTTTTTAATGGGCATTTGTTGCTTTTAGTGTATTGGAATCTGGGTTGAAGCTATTATTTTGATCCTTTGAAGGCATGATTTTTTGAATTTCTTGATGCATTGTGGATTCTATTAGTTAATTTCTTCTGTTGTGGGAAATGCTATGGAAATGTATTGTTCTATGATGGATACCTGTGAATTCTTGGAATCTCATTGTAAGTACTAGTTGGTCTCTTTAGGGTTTTGTTTCATCACAATTTGATTGCGATATGTTCTGTAGTTACTGTAGGAATCATCTTTAAGTTAAGTTCCTTAGTGTTTGGAATTCAGTCCGTAATCTATGGATGCAAATCAATATTTACGTTTGTTTTCTCAATAATAAATATGACGTTGAAGAACTAGAATCCCGAAATTTTTCCAAACAGGAGAGGAGATGCAAATTGTATGTAGCAATCTGTTGCTAAAAGTTTTAGGCTTTGGAAAGAGGTGCATTCTTGCAGAAATGCTATCAATGTAGAGAACTATGCTTGGATTTATTGTCATCAAATGCAGTTGTGGTAATGATCCTGTGATGCGGTAGAAATCTTCCCGTTCGATATTATTTCTTTTTCGATTGACGGAAACATTATTTTAGCATTTGTGATGTCGCATTCCCAATCACCAACAGTGCCGTGTTGCTTATGCAGTTTTCCTATTGTTGAACCTGATCCTGGTCATACAAAGCTCCGTCTTAGTAGGGAAGGATTGGAAGCAATTAGCAAAATAACAACTCCCATTGCAGCTGTTGCGGTACGTGATAATGATAGTTTGCATGCTTCTCTGTTAGTTGTAGTTCTCAGCTTTTGGCTTTTCATTATCTTTCCTGTTGACAAATTAGGTGATCGGTCCATATCGTTCTGGCAAATCATTTCTACTCAATCAGCTTCTTTCCCTTTCCTGTTATGAAGGTACTTCTTATTGCAAAAATCTGGGTTCTGTGCCTGGAGCTCCTATATAGATAGTTTTGTTAGTTGAAAAGCTTATTCACTTCGACACTTTTGCTCATGATGATTTTGCATCTTCAGGTTTTGGTGTTGGTCACATGCGAGACACGAAAACAAAAGGTGCTGAAATGATGCGCTGAGGAAAAATTGATCCTTCCCATCACAAGTATTTTTTTCTGAAAAACATGTTGTCCTAGATAAGGATTATTGATTTTGTTTGAAATTTTTTAAACTTGATCGCTTATAGGCATTTGGGTTTGGGGAACACCTATAGAGCTGGAGATTGACGGAGTAAAAACTTCTGTATTTTATCTCGACACTGAAGGATTTGAAAGTGTTGGAAAGTCAAATGTATATGATGACCGGTAATTATGCTGTGTGTTTTTGTATATTTTGGAGTTTGGTTGCTGCTGGGATCTCTGGATATTTACTTATTTGCTGATGATGTTTTCAGAATTTTTGCTTTGGCCACAGTGATGAGTTCTGTACTTATCTATAATCTGCCTGAAACGGTAAGTTGTCCTACCTCTATATTTTTTTCAGACTACTTATGCTTCTAGCATCCATGTTAAGGCTGCATGGGTTCAGGTTGCTAGAGAGTCTCACAGTTATGCCTTACATGTGGACCATGGATTATGTTGATTTCTGAGGTCACGATGTTTGAGCCAAATGGATTTTTTGTTCTGTTTTCAGTTTTAGAGCCCAACTAAGAGTCAGTGTTCAAGACCCTCCTGCATAATAGCTTACGAGAAACCTCGTTATTCTTAAACTGAAGTAGTGATTTCTGTTGGGAAACCATTTGACCAAAGTGTCTCAGAGATCTTTATAGTTCATAGTTAAAAACAACTTGTGGAGGTGTAAAGTTGGTGATTGGAAAATCTTACTGTGATGTTTTGGAGTCAAGGGTTTGAGATCTATTGTGTTTTAAGATTCTTTAACTTAGTTGGAATATGCAAGAAACCTGTGAAGCTTGGATATTCTTAGCTGTTTCTTCCCTCTTTTGGTGTTCGTAGAGTGCATACAGTTAGGAGGAAAGGGAACATTCTATGTGTTATCTTTTTTCTAATGCTTTTTATGAATTTAGTATGCTAGCAAAACCAGAGAAGAATTTTGATATTCTAACAAGCTGTTTACGCAATATGGAGTTCTAACACATTTTTCATAACTTCGTGCACATTCTGCTCTCGGATACGGGTTTTAATCAGATCCGTGAAGCTGACATTTCTCGGTTGTCCTTTGCTGTTGAGCTAGCAGAAGAGTTTTATGGAAGGTTTGTTGTTCGATACTGCGGTACATTTTCAGTCTATTGTATATAGAAATTATTTCTTTCCTGTATGAATACTGACCGGGTTACTTTCATTGGTTCATGCAATCCAATGGTCAGAGTAAAGGTAATTCACAATTGCTTCTATGGTGTTGTTCTTGATCCTTGTAATCTTCCCGATGTTTTGTTTAGATTTTCTCCATTTCTTGTAGGGCCAAGATGTTGCGTTTGAACCTGCAAAGCTTTTGTGGCTAATCCAGCGTGATTTTCTGCGTAAGTTTTTTGTGCTTTGCTAGGTAAACTATCTATAATTCAAGTTGAATAGTACTTAGATCTTACGTAATGTCTGCATAACCCAAAATGCATTTCTTACTATACACAAAATTTACCTGCAACACTTTGTGTGCATTGTGGTCTTTCAGTTTTCTCTTTACTTATGCAAATGAATTGGACTTGATTAAAAGTATTACAATGTCAACAGAAGGGAAATCGGTACAGGAAATGGTGGATCAAGCTCTTAGACGTGTCCCTAATACAGAGGGTGAGAGTTCTTCTGAATCTTTTCAATTCTTCAACTGATGTTTCACAGACAATTTCTTTTGTCAGCAGTCCTTATTGATGGATTTTTTCTTTTTACTGTCTTTATAGGTGACAGAAACATAGATCAGGTGCACTTTTCTTCTAGGTTTTGTCAGGTACAAATTAATGATTTCACTGTTCATATCTCAGAAGCTATCTCTGTCATCGTTTCTCTCAGGTTAACCAGATCCGAGAATCCTTAGCTACAATGGGTGACAACAGCACAGCCTTTAGCTTACCACAAGTATGGACTCCGTATGTGTTTGTTTATTTACTTGTTTCTTTTTTGTAAAAGCTTCTCGACATGCATGTTTCTTGGAAAAAAGAAATTGAATGCTTGAATCATAGTGGATGATAATTGGGATGTATTGAAAGAATTTTTTGCATAATCCTTTTGCCTTTAAAAATTGTGCTTTGTGGCTCTTGCCTCTAAAGGTACAGCGGGTCATAACCTTTACAACGTTTATTTATTATTTCTCAGAAGGTCTTTTTAGTCTAGATACTCATAGTATATGGTTGAAAAATTTCTCTATTGCCAAGGAGTTTTACCTGATCTTACAAAAGATACGAGTCATTTATACTTCGGTGATAAAGCATATGTGTAGTTGTTTCCCTTGTGGTAATTTTGCTCCTTGTTTTTGTTTTGTAGCCTCATCTGATGCGTACGAAGCTATGTGATATGAAGGATGAAGAGCTTGACTCTACATATGTTGCAAAACGAGATCAGTTGAAAAAGATTGTTGGTGATATTATCCGCCCAAAGATCGTGAGGGGGAAAACCCTAAACGGGAAGGAGTTCGTTTCTTTTCTGGAACAGGTGAGTGCCGTTTCTGGTCTGTGTGGTTCCATATTTTTGAATAATCACAAAACGTTAAAAAAATTTAGACTGAGCAACAATAGTCCTATGTGCCTGCATTTTGTGGTACTGTTTATGTATGTGCTAGGAAACCAAAAGCCGTTGAGCTACTTTTGCAAGTGATTAGAAATAATTACACTTGTCTTGGATGAATGTGATTTTCGAGTTGCCCTTTAATAACAGCCTTTTCTCTTGTTTCTTAAATATAAATGACGCAATTTGCTTTAGTTTGTTTACATTGTGAGGTATTTATTCTCTGTGTAAAATTGAAAACGATTTTTTGTTTGACTATTTAATTTGTGTATTTTGTACTTATATATATATATATTTATGATTTTGTCTTAATTTTCAGATACTGGATGCCTTAAATAAAGGGGAGATCCCATCCACAGGATCACTAGTTGAGATTTTCAACAAAGGTATTCTTGAGCGATGTGTGAAGCTATACAATGAGCGGATGTCAAGGTTACGTTTGCCAATGTTGGAAGAATCTCTGCGGGATGCCCATGAAGTGGCTCATGGTGAAGCTATAAAAGCTTTTGATGAGCAGCATTTTGGTCGACACCATGCGAAGAAATCTGTCATGCAATTAGATGAACAAACGCAGGAGGTATTACTTGTTATACTAATCTAAATTTCTGTATTGCTAAGGAGTTTTATGCAACTAACTGCATGAGTTTTATGCAGCTAATTGCAAGCCTAGTAGATGAAAAGAGAGTATTGGTCGAAAAATTGTGTTGGCAATGAACCTCTCTTGTGGTATATAAGTACGTTGAATTTTCAAATTTAATTTCTTAGAGACCTTTTGCTCTGAAAATCTTATTTAGGTATACAAGAATTTTGTCCTTGCAAATGAATTCCATTCCTCAAAGCTCTGTGAGGCATTATATACGAAGTGCGAGGACGATATGGACCACCTACAGACTCTTCGACTTCCATCCATGGCTAAATTCAATGCGGGTATCCAACACTGCAACCAGAGTTTTGAGCAGCAATGCGTTGGTCCTTCAAGGCAAAATTACGAGCAAAGATTGACTAAGGTAATATATGCACTTATTTCCAAGTTTTGTATGCAAAGCATTGAGCTTTGTATTCTATGATGCCATGTTGCTAAATTTAATTTGAAGTTTTTGTTTTTGGTAGTACTTAATAACTGTAGTTAATTTATGTTTTTTTTCCCTTAACGACTGTCAAAATAGGGAGAAAAAAAGGCACAGCTAAACTTTACTTGAAATATTAACATTGTCTATCTGCAGATGATGGGAAAGGCACGGTCACTGTTCATCAGGGAATACAATAACCGGCTCTTCAATTGGTTGGTCGCGTTCTCTCTTGTGATGGTGGTTGTGGGGCGATTTATTATCAAATTCATCTTGTTAGAGATGGCGGCCTGGATACTCTTCATATTCTTGGAGACATACACGAGGATGTTCTGGTCCGCAGAGTCTCTTTATTACAACCCCGTATGGCATTTCATTGTAGCGACTTGGGAAACTGTCGTCTATAGCCCAGTTCTTGACTTGGACAGGTAAGTTACAAGATTCTCTCTTCTTCTTGATTGTTTACAGACAGCTTTTGTTTACTTCCTCTAAATAGGGTATATTATCAACTGAAAGAGTGCATTCGATGGAGAACATATGTATCTCTAGGAACATAGGCATGAACCCGAGTTTTCTGAAACCAAAAAGTCTGATGATGATGATGCTCGTCTAATCTTGGTGTTTCGTGACTTGCCTAACCAGATGGGCTATTCCGCTAGTCTGCCTAGTAGCGTTAGGAGTGCTTTACTGGCGGTGCTACGGGAAGAGGAAACACGGGTCACGTTGGCTTCTGCCATTGTACAATAGCCATAAGAGTGGCCGGAATAGGGCACGGTCAGAGTAAAGAAGCTTCCTTAAACTAATACAATATCCCCGGGGGCGTGCTCGTTGTTTTTGTCATTCGAAGCCTGCCCATTGCTACCACCATATTTTTTTCTGGGGCTTATAGAGGAAATCAATGGAAACATGAGTTTTAGTAGTGGCGAAGAAGTATGAGAAGGATGGTCAGTTCAAAGATGGGCTTTCTCTGTGCACCCTGTACCATTTTATTTACATAGATGCATTGTAATTTTGAATTTCATAACTTGATTGGATCTGTTTATTATTTTGTTTCTTCACTGCCAAAGAAGCTTATTTGTATCTTTCTTTGTTCTTCGCCTATCACTAAACCAATTTAGCGTCGTCACCAGATATTAGAAGTAAAATGACAGATCCCTTCCACATGAGGTTGTGGATTCGATTTTTTTTAAGTCTGATTTTCTTCTGAATCAGTCAGTTTCGCTTGGTTATTTGTTGTGCGTGACTTGTTGGCTATTGCACGGAGTCGCAGGTTTACTGTCTGAGATGTGGTCCTGTCCATGGGGCCAAAAGGTGTCCGGTCCGAAAGACTGTAACCGGTCCATGGAGCCAAAAGGTGTCCGATCCGAAAGACTGTGACCGTGAGACGGCTTCAATAATAAATAACTTTTTTTATTTTAAATAACTCCTTTTTAAATAATAACAGGAGCCGATAATCCCATTTATTATAAAGTTCCTCTGCCTCCTGCGCCATTCTTTTTATAATTCCGATATGCTTCTTCTTTCCCTCCGACGTTTGTAATTTTGGGGTCTTTCTTTTTATTACGTCGACCGTCTCTGACATCGGAGATAATTTTTTAATCCTTTGATCCGGTAGGGAGAGCAGATTCCTTTTTGTTATATTTCTCTTATGTACTTATGGATCAGATTCTTCCACTGAGAAATTAATTCAAATTCTTCAAAAGTTGTAACTTGGTTTAGGGTATAGAGAATGAGAGATTCGTTAAGATCTACACTTTTCTTGTTTTGTTCTTATATAGTGGTTTCGTTCTGCATTCAAGGTTGGGTATTTGTGGTAATTTTATTTTGCATTCTGTGTTATGTTATTTGTATCGAAACCATAACACAAATTGTTTGCATTGGATAGAATCGATTGTCATTATATTTGGGGTTGATAAGTGTGACCAAGAAAAACTGGTAGTTATATTGGTCCATGAATATGCTTTTTGTTACTATGTACTAAGTGATTGTAAGAAGAATATGGATGTATTTTTTGTTTGTTTATGAAAATATATTCAAGATCTCTTAATAAATACACTTGTTTTTAAGAACCAAATATTGAAATGTCCAATTTCGGACCAATGTGTAGCAAATTATACTTTGCATGAATAATCTGACAATTGTTCGTCTGGCAACTCCAATTATTTTTAATCTTTTGCATGGAATGTGGGCAACTACATTTCTATTCCAAAATGTTTAAACTTTGCATTAATATACATATATTAAAAACAAAACATTTGCTGACAAAACTCACTGCATATGGTGTTTGGTTAAAGTTGCAGTCTGTTTACCTTGGGTTGTATCCCATATGTTGGTTGATCCACTCCTTTGTCACCTTCAAAAGATTAACATTGAAATATAAAATTGTATCAATTTCTACATTTGGTATTGCATCATATAGTATTTTAGAAGATTCATTATATTAAATACACACATATATATATATATATATCATAATGTATTATATATTAATAATGGTTAAACTTAATGGAATTGATTTGCCTTTCATTGGCCAATATCCTTTTGCTTCTGCATCATCAGGAAACTGCAAAAAAAGAAAAAGAAAATTATTAAGTAACAAAGAGCATCACAACGCATTTAAAATTTATAAAACTAATAACTTACTCTTAAAGATTATTAAATATTTCTTTGAATACTATGTTCTCCACTTCATTTGAATAAATATTGGAGCTTTTCAAATTTAATATTCGAAGTCCTTCAGAAGATGTGACCTTTGAAAGTGCGACGTATAACTGACCATGGCTAAACACTGGATTGGGAAGGTATATTTCCACTTTTTTCAATGTTTGACCTATCGTCATCCCATAGCATATTCGAAGAGAAAATTGTCTTCTTTTTAGCTTGAATGGCATTTAGTATCACTTGGGCTCATTATTATTCTAGGGATGAAGATCTTTTTTCCAACATGGCTGCCCGTGATAATCTCTGCCTCGATCACTTTGTTACCTAGGCGTGTAACAATCATTCGAGTTCCATTGTATAATCCTTCTTGTTGATTAATGTTTCTTAACAACATTACTGGAACATTTGTCTTCAACACTAATTTGTGGTCGGGCAGTCCAGACGATGTGAGTGAGTTTAGAAAATCAACAGGATACAATGCTAGTGTTGGAATGATGCATTCTCCTTCATCTTCCACGCTATCTGAACTCAAATATTCCTTACATTCTTCTGGCACAAGATTAAGCATGAATGAATTGACTTCATCAACATGATCATTTCTTGGAGTAAGAACAACTCTTTCCATCAGGTACGTTTTGTCTTTGTATAATTGACAAAAGTTTGGATATGTGTGTTTTGAAATTTCCTCAACTGTATCTGCATCCGCATTGATTACCAATCTTTTGTCGATTTCAACTGTGTCACATTCATCTTTTGGGTGCAAGTTTTTTGCACGTTTTGGGATTGTTCCGTCTCCTACTTTTAAAACCCATTCTGCAAAATCTCTCTCTGATCGATGAAGTCTCATGTTCTAGGCTAAGACAAACACTGTGCAAGAATCCCACAGGTATGAGCGGTTTATTGCAGCTGAAACAATATCTTGTCTTGTACCATTTTTAATAACATGTAGAATTTGGCGGAAATCACCGCCTAGAAGAACAGTTTTCCCACCAAAAGTTTTGAACACAGCTGTTGGATCTGCAATTGACATAAGATCTCTCAAAGTGTGATCCAATGCTTCAAAGGTATACCGATGGGACATTGGAGCTTCATCCCATATGATTAGCTCACATTCAATCAGCAATTCTGCTAACATTATTCCATGTTTTATTTCACACATTGAATTTTCTTGAACATTGATGGACACTTTAAACCTTGAATGTGCTGTTCAACCACCAGGGAGAAGTAACGCTGCAATTCCAGACGAAGCTAATGGAATGACAATTTGTTTGTTTGCTCGCATGTTTGCTATAATTGTGTTGTATAAATACGTTTTACCAGTTCCGCCAGGACCATATAGGAAAAACAACTTCCCTTCCTTTAACTTGATGGATTGCATAACACCATTGAATGCTTTTAGTTGTTCTTCGTTTAAACAACTAAATAACATGTCGTATCTTTGTTGTTCTTCTGTCGAATCATAGTTCAATTCTTCCCTCATAAAATAATTGTTCATCTGTTTGAGGAGCTCTTTGTCTGGTAATGGTATATCTGGAAACTCTGCGAGCGTTCTGCAGTTTTGCATCATTATTCCCTCAATCTCCATCAATGCATAACTTTGGAGTGTTTAATCTGTAAATTGCATGTCATTATAGCCGAAGCTTGTGCACTTTTGATATGGGATGTCTTCTGCTAGGGAATTCCAACAATGTTCCCACAGCTGCCCCCGGGTTCCTACCTCACAATAAAGTAACAGAGTGACAAAAAGATGTCTCAATTGGTTTGGAGAAGCCCATTGACTGGCTTCATCTATAGCTTCCTTCCACTCTGAATCTCCATCCAACATTACTCTCGCATAGCAAGCAACTTTATATGTAGCAAGGACAACTCCGTCGACAGTTAAAATGTCCTCATAACTGGTAGACCTTTTGACAATATTCAATAACATTCTGAAATAGTAAAGTTCCCCTGATGATGGATGTATATTAAAGATCCTTCCAATTGCGAAACCTTGTTTACGCTTTGTCCAGATTGTATTACAATCATTCCAAACAAACTTGCTTGGAAATTGAAGGTATGTCAATTGTTTTGCCTCCGAATCTTTTATATTTGTTTCCATCCATGTAGTAAACATTGTCCTTTTAGCTCTTGGTTGGGACAATACAGATTCTAAGTCCTGAGAATCTTTGTATACCAAACTTTGTTGATTTTCCAGGTGAATTGATAGCCTTTGTACAAGCGGATCACGATAGTGGATGTCAAATCTAAATATTCTCCATATAGCTTCACATGCCGATAGATAACGACATTCAAGGTAATTTTTTACCTCGTCTATCTCTTGATCCTGATCTTCTCTGTTTCCGTTGTTTCCCAGAATCTCTCCTTTTTCAATGACCATCATCGCTTTGTCAACGCCTTTTGTAATGTACTTGAAAAGATACTTTATCGCTTTTGACCTATTGCACCATTTAACGTTTATATGTGCCTTATATTTCTTCAATAAGGATAGATTATGTGGCACTACAAAGCTGTTGTCTAGGCAAACTTGACCTTTCATGACGAAACTGATATCATCTTTTCTGCATCTATATTTGATGTATCCTGAATCATCGATGGTCGTACGTTCACAATAAGATTTTGGAAACTTCTTTGAACAACACCCATTCTCCATACACGATGAGTAAGGATTTTGAATTCCACATGGCCCGTGGATCATTAGTTCTTCAACCAAAGAATGACCTTCGGGGTCTTTGGCTTTATTCGGAATTTCCGTCGAGATAAACATATCAACATCTCTTACGGTGGGAGTTCTAAAGCTTTCAGATAACCAGATTAGGATATGAGCATGGGTAGACCTCTTTTTTGGAACTCAATAGTATAGATCACTGCAAACCAAAATCCACTCTTAAGAGATCACGACTTAAATATTTTAAGGCCCATTATATAATGCATAGTTAACATTATATATTTACACAGGTTTTTTAACGTGAGTTACCTGCTAATGGTTTGTCAAAATAGGTTCCATCTTTGATGTCTGACAGTAGCTCCTCTAATTTCATCTTGAATACACGCGATTCTATATCAGGTCGGTCATTTGCTGATGTGTTTCCCCATTTCTCCAGGTGTTCTTTGATTTCCAACCATTTCGGATTTGCCGTCATTGTAATGAAAAGGTCTGGATTTCCAAACCATCGACAAATTGCCATCGCATCGTGATATTTTCCGATCATATATCTAGGGCTTCTAGAAAAAGTTGAGGGAAGAATTATTCTTTTTCCTAACTTCTTTGCATCAAACTCTCCTCTTGTCATGAAATCACAAACATTGCTATATAAATCTGCTCGTAGTTTTGTATGATTGTTCCGAATATACCGCAACTGTTGTTGTTCAATAGCTGTGTAAGCATCAACAATATATTGTTGGAATAAACGTCCAGACCTTATTAGAGTATTGCCTTCGTTTAACCGCGTTTGTAGCTGATAAGCATAATACTCATGCATTGTAACATGTGTCCTTTTCACTGTAGAATTCTCACCAGCAATATGTTGAATCCCTTCATGATAGCCCGATTCACCATACGGATATAAGAGGGGGTATTGAAATGCCATAAGATGTGGATGCATTTCGCTAATACGTCGAAGATTTGAATTCTGAAGATGTACAATGATATCTCTTTCAGCTGCAGTCTGTGACAAGTCTCCAACTATAAGTCCAGCAACCTCATCACCGGTAGGTAGCTCATATTGTTTTCCTCTGTTTCTTAGACCAATTAAACGAATTTTCATGCCATTGAAATCCCCGACTACATATCTATCTCTTGCTTTACGGAAGGTCTTTGTAAGTTCATTGTAGGTGTCCAACATTTCGATCAAACCACTGAGAATATCGATATCCAATTGCTCATCTTGTTCTCTTTGGAACAAAGCATTCAAGCGGTTTTGAATTTTATTTGCACCGTCATAGATGTATAACTGAGCAAATCATGGCATCTTGCCTTCCATGGGTAAAAGGGATCCCAAACGATGGTAATTTTGGCCATGGATTATGTATGCATATGGCCCTCTTCTAGAAGTTACAGAGTTATCGATCTTGGCACCCATGAATGTGAATGCTACCATATAATTATAAGCTCGTATATATCTATGATATGATCTTGATTCTTCCAGCATTTTTTTTAAGAAAATCCGGGGTTCTCGCTATTGTGGAAGCTTAACACGACCTTGCTGGCAACATATTGTGAAAAACAATTGTAACATCCCATAAAACGTTAAAAAAAAAAAAACAAATAAAGAAAGCAAAAAAAGGGGGAAAACATGTCTCCATGTTTCCTTCATCCACTCTCGTGCCCCACCCCCTATGCTACTCACCCATCAATCAACGACATCTCCTTCTTCTTTTTATATGCCTTACCTCTTCTTGTCCTTCTTAATTTCCCCGCGCTCTCTCCCTCTAACTCTTGCTCCAGCAGAAGCTCACAACCAAGCACTTGATCAGAGAACGGTAAGAAAATATCCTTCCTCTTCTTTTCCTTCTCATTATCGTTTAATCTCTGTAACTCTCTCATAAGAAATCTACTTTCTTCATCTGAAACTCCCTCTAGTTATTATCACGAATGGAGTCGGGTGAAGAAAGACTCAATCAAAAATAACCCACGACCCTCTAAGAGACAAAGGAACTCAACGGTGAGTGAATCGAGTTCAATTCGAAAATTTCAATTTTCTTTGATTCTTGGTGATTTCAACATGTTTTCATTAAATTGATGTTTGATTTATATTATGGAATGAATTTTGTGAATTTTAGGTTTTAACATGTTGAATTTTGATGAGTTTTGAATGTTTTTATGGAATCACGAGATTCGTATCGGACCAAATTAATTTCGGTCTGAAATGAACTGAGAACTAAGATATGAAAAATGTGAAAATAAATAAACAATAAATTTTTGAAATAATAGTAATATTAATAATAATGATAATAATACTAAATAACCATAATAATAATACTTTGAAATTAATAATAGTAATAATAATAATAATAATGCTAATGATGATAATGATAATAATAATATTAATAACGACAAGGATGATATTATTATAATAATAATAATAATAATAATAATAATGACGATGATGATGATCATAATAATAATCAAATAATAATAATAATAATAATAATAATAATAATAATAATAAATCGGTCTGAATGGACCGGCCTTAATAATTCTGATCAAAGCTAATTAAAATAAAATGAATTCGAACACGGTCTGGATCGAAACAGATATAGTTCAGACCAAACCAAATCTAAAAGTAAAATGCGAAACTACGGGACAACCCGACTTGGTAATCTGGACGGACCGAAACCTAATTTGAACAAATTAAATATAAATGAAAAAAAAAGATTTGGGGACGACCGCCCGAAGCAAAAAATTTTAATACTCAATTTAACTTCTACAGACCCAGAGGTTCTCTAGGAAGTTCCCTACCTATCATCCAATCGATATCCACTACCCGTAGCCTACAAGCATAAACCCGAGGTGAGTGAATTCGAGTTTAATTCGGAAGTCTATTGACATGGGGTTTTGGGTTTTGAGTGTTTCATGATTGATTGATGGTTGATTCATGTTCTAACTGAAATAATAATTTTTGTGAATTACCCGTAACAAATCATGTGTGCTGGTGCAAATTTGGCGAAAAGTGAAAAATTACCGAAAATACGGGCCAGACCGGACCCCACGTAGTCTGGACCCAAAGTAAATGACAGGTAAGGTTAAAAACCACGGAATGAACCGAACTGGTTATCCGGCGGACCGAGACCAGATAGGTCATACCAGGGGTACAATTCGGTAATATGAATGGAAAGACTCAAAAAAATATATAAATAAATATAAAAGACTACGCAAGCGGAAATGCATGTATAGTAAATAAACTATATAAATGCGTGTGACTGGGGTAGCTGGCATGAAGTTAACGTTAATTCGAAAGGGTTCGGATTAACGTTTAGCGCATGATTGTAGTACCGGGCGTTTGTGATTGAATACACGATGTTTTCGAGATTGCGTCCCATGAGCCATCCGATCCTGGTCGGATGTCACCCATATGGGATATGATTGTGAATGTGACAATGATATGATCGCGTCAACGTCCGAAAGATAGGACGGTTATGGGCACACCGATGACTTGCGTAGATAGCCGATTATAGTCGGTACTATTGCGTGATGAGGAACACACGGTTCTTGGAACCGCGCCAACGTTTCCGTTAGCGACGGAGCGGACCCCCGGGGTATGAGTATCCCGAAGATGAGGCATCACACATACCTGAGATTCGGGTAGACTGGGGTCTCCCCAGGAGGTGGTACGGACTTACTCTGCCAGGTTCGGGCACGAACCTGACAAGTATTTCCGTGGTGGATGGTCAGCGAGGGGGAGTTGCAGCGATGGGCTCTCCCGTTATAGTCGATGACGTCGGTAGTAGCCGACGTCTGGCGAACTCCGGTATTGAGAGGTGACATCAATGCCGGAGTAGGGTGACACGTCTAGCATCGAGAGGTGACATCGATGCTAGGGTGGGGTGATGTGTTTGGGCGGAGAAAAATATATTTATACCGGATCCGAGTGGTTGCGGAGTAGATGGATTCCGAGGAGAGAGGTGGTTGTGCTACGCACATGGGGAGTACATTACCTACGCATGGTGCGCGTAGAGACGATTTGACGGACTCTGTCCTGCGACTTGTCGTACAGACTTGATTGTGATTGCTACATGCTTATCATGATTCCATGTTTTCGATTCCAGTTTATTAGAATATTAATATATATATATATATATATATATATGTGCTTTCCCTGGCACCATGAGAATAGAACTCCGGGTTACGCCCGAGTTCACTCTCTAAGCAATTAGCTTAGGACGTTATTACGCAACGTTTCAGGTCGTGAGCAGCAGTAGCCGAGGAGCGGACATCGGAGACCTGGGCAATGCACCTCTACCGATCATGTATAATTACGTATTTTGATACATTTATAATTGGGAAACGGTTTGTATTATATCGGTGGTAGACTTTCGCGGTTTGTAATAATTTTATCACTACCACTCGACTATGTATAATTATCTCCAGAATAACGTATCATATATGTGTATGAATGTTTTCTCCGCTCAACTCTGGAAAGAAAAGTTTTAAATTCCCGCGGATTTTTGGAAATTGGGTTTTATTTTAGTTGTCCATGTGACACAACTCGTATTGCGGGATACGGGTTTCGGGCGTTTACAACAATTGTCCTGTTGCCGAATTCTTTTTTTTGGATTCCACTCTCCAAACCAATACATCACAGAAATGATAATTTAGGAGATTAATCTCCTTTGTTCTCGCTGAAACATTGAAATAAATTGTTGTTATATATATATCTTTATATGATGCATAATTAATGTATATCTAATTTTTATTTATTAATATCTAAATCTTCAAGTTTATCATATTTGAATAAGTTTGGGAGTCTTTTTTAACATATGTTACATTAAGCATGTCTATTTATCTTCTATACAATAAAAATAACTATGGTCTTCTATCCTTAGTTTTCTTAAATTTTGAAATAAATAAAATGCATTAGAATTTGTTGGATATTTTGTTTGGTGATTTGCTGTGAATATGAGATACCTATGTAATTGTGTGTTTAAGTTTAAAATCATCATAAATACCAATAATTTAGAGTAGAGACCTATGTTTGGACCTAGATTTTTTATGAGTAACCTTATTAACTTGGAAAAAAACAATTAATAGATATCTATGTTTGAACAAATGTTAAATTTGTTTACAATTGTAATGGAGATTTTTGTCGTAGTATTCATACCGTAATGGAGATTTTTGTCGTAGTATTCATTTTTTTTTTATTACACTTTCGAGAATTGCTTCTTGTTTCACCCTTTGCAATTTGTTTTCCATACATTATCTCTCGTCTTCTTTTTCTAGCCTCTGATGCTTCAACTCCTTAAAAATTCAATTGAAATATTAAAATAATGAGGTTATTTACTTGTGAGTCTAAACTTAAGATAATGAATTCTCAACTTCAAAACTCTCATGCTTTTTTGTTTTTTATTTGAAATAATACCTTTACTTGGGTAAAGGGCGTTTTCTGTAGTAATGGTTGACGGAAGTGATTTTGAAGCCACTGGGGTTATTTGGGTAACGTAAGAAAGATAAATGTTAAAATTATTCAGATGGTAAGATGATAGATTACATTAAAGGAGGAGATGCTCAATGCAAATGTACCTTCATGGTTGAATGATTTTTGAATAAAATCCAGTTGCGATAGAGAGAGTAAGATACACTATTCTCGGAGGAAAACGGTCGAACTTTTGACAAAGTTGTTTGTTGTCCTGTTAAATAAATGGAACATAAATATTAGCATAAATAAAATGAAAATATAAAAGTAAATGGACCTAGAATTATATATAATGCTTGGCTTGATTAAGGATATATATATATTTACTGAATTGGACATGGTATTTGTGGTAGAATAATCAATAAATACCTATATTAATTTTCCCTCTTTTCATTGTTTCGATTTTAAATACTTATATATATATAACACGAACTAAAGTTTTGCCCTCGCTAGGAAACTTAGACATTGCAAAAGCTTACAATGTTACAATAAGGTGTTTTAGTATATTCATAATAATATTGGCCGGAAATAATTGAATTTGGATAAATACAAATCTGAGTTAACTTTTAAATGAGAAAGTTTTTGACAATCAAAATTGATAGTGTATAGCAAGTGATGAAAATTTTCTGCAGTTCGAAGAAATTGGATCTCAATATTGTGTAACTGTAATTAGAAAGTAAATATATATTGGGAAAATGATATTCTTCTACATTTTTTTTTGGAAAAATGTGACGTTGTCTTACAATTTTTAATATTACAAATATCTACATTTACTTTCAATTTGTTGTCAAATGTCTACACGAATTTACAAAATCAATTGAATTTTCCATCCAAACAGGAACCACGTGGAATTCGATCGATTTTCTTAACAATTTTGCTGATATATACGACCACTTCAGATATTTTTCCAAATCAACTACCACATTACACTCTTTTTAAAAAAAAAAACTTAAAACACATATGAAACCCAAATTTATCCCACAACTATCATATATTTTTTTGTAAAAAGTAATTAAATAAATTGAAAGAAAACAAACCTTGGAGGTTGATTCCAGGGATTTATAATAATATTGGTCTAAGTAATTGAATTCAGATACTTACCAATTGAGTTAACCGTTAGATAACAAAACTTGGTGACGATCCAAAATGACAGTGAATAGCAAGCAACGACAAATTCCTACAATTCAATGAGACAATATTTCAACATGACCGGAATCTAGGGAATTCCAAAATAAGTATATATTTAATATATTTGGCTGGTTGATTCATTGTTATCAAATTCAAACCAGAATAAACCTTCTAATCATATATTAAAAACATGATAAATGGAAAACATTTTAAATCAAAGAAAAACTGAACGTGTATGACATATGTGTATATATGTATATATATAGATGCATACAGCAGTGATATATAGGCAAGAAAACATGGAAAGAAGGCAAACCTTCGGAGGCAAAGATTACATGGAAGAGATGAGCGAGACAAATGATCATCGGACCATTATTTTATCTTGTGTGAAATAGAGTGAGCAGCTCATTTAACGTAATACCACCATTGAAATTCATTTCCAAAACATATGTAGTCAAATGTGTGAGTCAAAGAATGCAAAGTTTGTGTTAGTTATTAGAGTTATTCGTTGATGTATACGAAGGATAATAAATACATTTAAAAATGGTAAAGTATAAGGTATTTGGAAGGCTTACTTTTATTATTATTCTTCATCAGTATATATACACGAGTATATCAAATATAGTTACAACAACTTCCCTAACTTAAGGAGATATCAAATATATACAAGATATTGAGGATATCTCTAATACGCCCCCTCAAGTTGGAGGTTCGGAAGAAACGCCAATCTTGACGGAAAGATCACGAAAGGATGAACGTGGAAGCGGCTTGGTCAAGATGTCAGCAAGTTGATCCTTAGAACTAACATGAGATACTCGAAGAGAGCCATCATTCACTTGGCTGCGAACAAAGTGATAGTCCAACGCAAGATGCTTCATGCGAGAGTGAAAGACAGGATTCGCACAAAGATATGTAGCGCCTATATTATCACAGAAGATAGTCGGGACTGAGGGCAAAGAGTAGCCAAGTTCATGGAGAAGAGAAGAAAGCCAACGTAACTCTGCCGACGTGTTGGCAATCGAGCGGTACTCGGCTTCAGTGGAGGACCTAGATAAACCCAAAAGCTTCTTGGATGACCACGAGATCGGATGACGACCAAGATAAACTATGAAGCACCAGTGGATTTGAAGTCACTAGGGTCGCCGGCCCAATCCGAGTCACTGAACGCATGAAGTGTCGGGGTATTGTCGGAGGAGAAGAAAATGCCCGTCGACCGAGATCCGACAAGAAAACGAAGAACTCGTTTGGCGGCTGCCCAGTGTTCATCAGTCGGACAATGCATGAATTGAGAAAGCTTGTTGACGGCAAAACTGATATCTGGCCGAGTAAGAGACAAATATTGCAAGCTGCCAACAACCATTCTGAACTCCGAGGGGTCCGACAACGGCGAGCCCGAGTTAGGGGTGAGACGAGAGGTAGAAGTCATAGGGGTCGTTACCGGTTTGGCGTCATGCATGTTGGTCCGAGCTAAAAGATCATTAACATACTTGCGTTGGCAAAGAAACATACCCTTGCTCGAACGAGATGCCTCAATCCCCAAGAAGAATGACAAGGCTCCAAGGTCCTTAAGAGAAAACTGAGAAGCAATACCGGCTAGAAAGTCCCGAATACGACGCTCACAACTTCCCATGACAATGAGGTCATCCACGTATACAAGAATAAAGAGTTGAACACCAGCGTCTTTAAGAATAAAGAGGGATGCATCAGCCACCGAATTTACAAAACCAACACCAAGAAGGTAAGTATGAAGTTCAGAATACCAAGCCCTCGGAGCTTGCTTGAGTCCGTAGATCGCCTTTCGAAGTTTGCAAACAAATGTAGGACGATCCTTATCAACGAAACCCGGAGGTTGTGACATATATACTTCATCAGATAAGTGACCCTGAAGGAAGGCATTGTTGACATCAAGCTGACGAATATGCCAACCTTTGGAGACGGCAAGACTCAGCACAACACGAATTGTAGTGGGCTTGACAACCGGACTGAAAGTCTCTTGAAAATCAACTCCGGGACGTTGGTTAAACCCCTTCGCAACTAGACGAGCCTTGAAACGGTCAATAGACCTATCAGGGTTTTTCTTGATCCGAAAAACCCACTTGCAACCAACCGTGTTCGAAACACCTACAGACGGAACAAGCTCCCAAGTACCATTACGAACTAAAGCATCGAACTCATCACTCATGGCTTGTCTCCAGCGAGAATCCGTCAAAGCTTGAGACATGTCGGTTCCCTGAGAGAATCCGCAAGAGAAGCAACTAGAGTCAACTTACGAATTGGCTTCACAATGTTATTCTTACCCCTCGTAGTCATGGGATGCCGGTTGCGTGAGGGAGAAGGAACCAAGATAGCTGATTCCATCGTAGATGGTAATGAGGATGGAGCCATGGAAGAGCCTCCGGTATCAGTCATCGGTGACGGGAAAGCATCATCAACTGCCGAGGGTGAAGGAGCATGACCCGGAGGATCACCAAAGGAGGCAAGGCGGGTCGGCGGAGAGTATGGGGTGACACGAGAAATAGGTGGCTCGGAGGAGATATAAGAGGAATCAAACGACTCGGGTGAGGATGGCAAGACAGACATGAGACCACCACCACAAAAAAAATGGTCATTTCCAACGGGTAAATCCGTTGGAAATGGCCAAATTTCCGTTGGAAATTAACGTTTCCAACGGATTTCCAACGGATTTATCCGTTGGAATTTCG